TAGTTAAACCTTCGTTACCAGTTGATTATCAAGGAAAGGCCTGATGACTGTTGAACTAAAACCTTGGTTGCCTAGCAGTATCCAACCATCTCACAGGAGCCAACAGCATCATATGTGAAGACACAACCCTTTGCTATAGGTTTAACATAAGAATATTAATAGATAATACAAAAAAAGTCTTAAAATTAAATCTAATAATTTTAAATATGACATGATAATATAACAAAAATATGATATAAAAAAAATAAAAGTGGCATAATTTAAAATTTTGACAACAAACGTATAAGTTTGGAAAATAAAAAAAAAATTTTGTATTTTATGTATCAACATAAATTATAATACGATAATTTTTATATTTTATAATTATTTAACATGAAACAGACACAACATGAATACATTAATTATCAAATTTACTTAAAACTATATCCACCCAAACATTAAAAAGGTAATAAGGAAAGAAATGGTTGAAGTAAAGGGTGTTGGAGAACAGATGAGCCATTGCAGGGCAGGTCATTTGCTTTTTCTGCTGATTCTGATCCGATGAATCTCTATTTGGAGAAGCACCGAATTATATATTCATCATATTAGCCATGCGTTAAATGTTTACAAGTATTACTGATCATAATTTTAATTCTTAAATTTATAGGCTACATCAAGCGTAGTTGCCTGTAATACTTTTTTCAGTGCAAAAAAATCATGCAAATTCAACTCCCACCTACAAAACAAATGTTCACAAAGTCCATTAAGAAAAAGAAAACTCATTCATTTCAAGCCAAAGCCCAAGTTCATTATAGAAAGAAAGACCAAGGTAACCAACAGGTTCACGAAGAAAGAAAACTCCCAAGTTTTCAGCCCAATACATATTTAGTTGGGGAAAATTTTTATTAAGAGTCCTTCTTATAATTTTTTTTTTTCAGTTTCTAAAGAAAGAAAAATTCTAATTGTTTAAGATATAAAGTAAAATTATTTTTAAAGAATTAAAAATTAAAAACTAAAAATCATTGGTGTCAGCAAAAAGTTGCAAATCTCAAATACAAAAAAGGGTCTCAATGTATCGACAGGCCCGAAAACAGAAATAATCGGCCCCATATTTGCCTACCGTAGGACAATGCAGCCCTTTTAATGTGCCAGCCTTGAGATTATAAGACATTGCTTTACCATCCGAAAAAACTGCTAATATTGAGTCTCCTTCCTCGGATAGCATAGCACAAAACAGTACATATTCTCCGAAATACATATAACTTGACCAAAAAGGTGGCCTGCGGAGAGTATCATATTCCGCTTCAAGATTTAAGCTGTACTTCAAGTACCAATCTGACTAATCCTCCACCATCTCAAACACACTGAAACTTCAAACGTTTAGCAGCACTAATGTGCAATTGCAAGATTCAAATACCCCCGACTCCCCAAAATATTCACACTCCACTTTATCTACTCTCGGCATCGGCATTGTTTTCAAACTTTCATTTTCCACATCAAGTGATTCCCTACAATTACTATACCAATGAGCCGCACCCTTAAAGAAAACACCATGATTAAATTTTATACCCCAATTCCCAGGGAATTTGATTTTTGGCAAACTCCAAGAATTAGTCTCTGATGAATATATGTCAAAAGAATACTCAGGTTTGTCGGGAACCCGCCATTCCTTTATTTTCTACCGTCAGACAGAAATAATCTTGTAATGAGGTGATTTAAGAGGATCAAAAGCCAGATTAAGAGCCTCGTGCTCGTAATCCTCAACCTGAGAGCTAGGAAAAGGGAGCATCTTAAACTTCCTGGTAGTTGGGTTACAGATAAAATATCTCGGTGAGCTAGGAAAAGGGAACATCTTAACTTCCCCGGTAGTTGGGTACCAGACAACATATCTCATTGTTGACTGATCTGGGAAAGAATCATAGGAAACACAAAGAAGCAAGCCAGAACAAGATTCCAATATCATGACGATCATCTCATCTATAAATCTAAGCGTGGGAGTCGTAGGCAGTCATGAGTCAGAGGAAGGAAGCTGAACTCTGAAGCTGGAAGATGGTAGACGTCGAGAAATAAAGCGGAAGGTTTGAGAGAGCCTTTGTTGGGAGGGGAGCAAGCGTGGGAGAGGCAGAACCTGGTACTGGAAATAATAGACATCCATTGTTTTGAGACGACCTTGAATTTGATGAGAGATTTTGCAGGCAAATAAAGGAGGATTTCGGTTAAAAGATCTTCATTGTTGGCTATCTGCTCTGCAGACTCGGGAGCCTTCATCGTCTTCGTCTTCGTCTTCGTCTTCGTCTTCGTCGTCTTTTTATCTAAACATATAACAACTGCTTTTGCCCTTCAGCCAAAGAAAACCCTGCAAAACTGCTTTTGTATATGACTTTGTGTCGGGTAGGGATAAATTCGTATTTATGGTAACAAAAATTTTAGGTTGACCTATGCAGCCCCAAATTTTCTTGAAGGAACATAATCTCAAAAATCAATTAAATAAATTAAATAAATTATTTGATGTGTCATGTTATATTAGGATTGGTACATATTCTTTTAATGTATATTTAAAAAATTAGTAAATTAGTATATCTATATCTATAATATATACAAATACGGATGTGAACAAAGTTTTAAACTAATGAAAGTAGATATTTTTATTTATTTTTTTTCCAAAATATTATTTGTCATCTAAAATTATTTTTAATTTTGAATTTATAAAAAATAATATTCTTATTAATTAACAATTCGATTAGGTGTTAGCTTTATATATTTAAGTTCTAATTCAATTCATATTATAACAAGAGTTTAATATAAAGTTGGTCCTAATAGTTTGAATTATTTAATGTTTATTAATGGTTTAATAGTTATTTTAAAACCTTTTTTATCATATTATGTGCTTATATACTTTTGTGTTTTAATTTCTTTTTCCTTTTTTTTTGGTTAAAATTTTTAATGTTTTTATTCTTGAATTTATTATTGTGTGTGTAATTTGTATGTTGATAATTATTTTTATTTTTAACTTTTTCAAAAAATGATTAAAAATTGTTTTCTTTCTAAGTATATATATATATATATTATAAATTAGTAAAAATGAACTAGTGTTGGTTATTTGTAGGCTACATCAAACTTAATTGCCTTTGTCTTTGGAAATTATTGTAATACAGTTTTTCAGTGCAAAATAAAAAACCACAGAGTGAACATCCATGTACAAAACAAATGTTCATAAAGTCCATTAGAAAAAAGGATACTCATTCATTTCCATCCAAAGCCCAAAGTCCATTAAAAAAAAAAAAAAAGAAAGACCCCAGGTAAGCTAACAGGTTCACAAAAAAAAAATCCAATTTTACAGCCCAATTTATATTTAGTTGGGGAAAATTTTAGTAAGATTTTTTTTTTAGGTTTCAAAAGAAAAAATGAACAAATTGTTTTAAGATATAAATGTAAAATTATTTCTGAAGAATTAAAAATTAAAAATTTGGTTTTATTAGCATATAAAAGTATGATATTTTAATTAGTGCTATATTTTTATCATTTAATTTTATTAATCAATATATAGTTTTAGTTTTTACTATTTACTTTTATCAATATTTGAATTGTATTAAATAAGAGTTTCAATAACTTAAACAATGAATGATGATTGAATTATAATTTACATTACTTAATATTGTTAATGTTTCTTTTGTTAAACTTGATAAAAAAAATGAAACCTTTGAATTTAACAAATATTTAAAAATTTTGTTTGACTAAAAAATTAGTAAATTTATCATATTGATTATTAGCATAAATCAAATATTCCATTATAATAAAATTTAAATTTAAATTTTATTATTAACATTCTCTTTTAATAAACAATATATAAATTTAACACAAATTGATACGTTATGATTCTGAAATAAAATAAATTTTTTAATCTATTTTTTTCTAAAAATAATTTGTTTGGATTCAAAAATTTTTTTATCAAATAAAAGAAATATATAATTTCTCAAATTCAAGGTGAAGGGACCTTTTGATAGAGATGTGGGTTTCACTTTTTTGGATGAGATGAAGTTTACATTATCCATTAAGTTGTATATTTTTTATTTGGTACAACAAAGTGTATAAATTATAAAATTTTCACAAAACATTTTTTTTTTTCATTCCTAAAGCTAGAGTAAGTCAAGCAAACTGGCTGCCAGCCGCATGACCAATTTCCCACATTCAGAAGGTCAACATGAAAAAAAAAAAAGGAAACAAATCAGCAGCACCTTGTCCCTAACTTTTTTGGAAGCAAAACCATTAGCATTTCGACACGTCATCATGACAGCCGCCCATGCAATCAAAAGAATAATACTTGTAAAGGAAAGTCACATCATAATAAATAAAAACAACTAATATAAATAAATAAACAAATAAATAAATACATTTGAAGTGAGATGATCAATTACTTAAATAGGAAAAATGTGAAATTTTTTGGCAAGAGAGAATTTCTACTTAATTATCAGAATGAATTGCTAAAATTTTAAAATAATTAAATTATTTAATTTTCAATTAATTAATTATTTTTATAATAACTTTTAGAAAATAAATCTTTAGGTATAATTTGAAATTTTTTTAGAAAAATGTGTAAATATGATTTTTATAACTTATAACCAAAGATGCTTTTTACAACATCATTATCTTTAATAATATACAATCACCTAAAACAATTACTAAAGTTTACATGAAAAAGAGAGCTAAAATTTTAATTTTAGTAATTAAAAATCAAAATTTAATAATTTTAAGTACAAAAAATGGCGCATATACCATTATCACAAGAGAAAATCAAAGTACTAAAAATAGTAAGAATATATATTTCATCAAGAAATGCACGTGGTTTACTTGATTTTCAATATTTTCAAAATTCATTAACAAAGGTTAACTTGATTTACTCTATTTAAAAATATAAATAGTTAAAAATAGAGAGCAATTCTCTTTAAAAAAATTCTTATATATACAAGTCTTCTACTCTTAGCCATCCTTCTCTTTCCTCTTTTTGCACTTTTTCTCTTATATCTTTCCCTAACCCTTTCCTCTCTTTTCCTTTCCTGCCAAAAAAAAAAAAAAAAACCAATCCAAAAACCAACAAAGTTCACAAAAAAAACCCAAAGAAAAATTAAGAAAAGGATCATATTTCAAGAAATCATGAGGAACCCAAGTTCATCAACAACAAGCAAAACACCATGTTGCAGCAAAGTTGGGATAAAGAGAGGGCCATGGACGCCGGAAGAAGATGAAGTCTTAGCCAACTACATCAAAAGAGAAGGCGAAGGAAGGTGGCGAACATTGCCTAAACAAGCTGGCTTGCTTAGATGTGGCAAGAGTTGTCGTCTCCGGTGGATGAATTATCTCCGACCTTCTGTTAAACGAGGTCGTATTGCTCCTGATGAAGAAGATCTCATTCTTCGGCTTCATCGCTTGCTCGGAAACAGGTACCTTCCTGTTTACAATATAATTAATAATTAACATCTCCAAAATCCAACATCAGCTTTTTCATATTTCTTTTAGTAATTTTTTTTTGGGTTTTTCTCTGCTTTTTCTATGGTGCAGCTCTCTTTCTACATGTATTAAACATAAAGCTAATCTTAGGGTTTCTTTCAAGTTAATTTGAATGTTTCGTTTATGGGGTTTTTTTTTTTTCATTTATTTTTTTAATCCTTTTTTGGGTTCTTAAACGTTGAGTTTTCAGGTGGTCTTTGATAGCTGGGAGGATCCCAGGACGTACTGATAATGAAATAAAGAACTACTGGAATACCCATCTGAGTAAGAAGCTAATCAGCCAAGGAATAGATCCAAGAACCCATAAACCATTGAACCTTATTAGCCATGGTTCATCACAGGTTAACCATGATCCTGTCCCAAAATCAAACCCTAATCCCCCAAACTCTAGTTCTTCTGAATTAGGAGAAAAAACTATTACCGTGACAGCTACTAAAAATGCTACCCAAGATTTGACACCGACTAACCTGGAATATCATCAGCAGTATCAAAACCAACAGGCTGGTGGTAATTGTCTGGCGAATTGGCGTAATTCTGAGGGTGCTACTCTCATCATGGGGCAACCAAGCAGCGGTGGAAATGAAGGAGGTTATATTGAAAATTGCAATGAAGATATGTTCTCTTCATTTCTGGATTCTTTGATTAATGACAACTTTCTTGTCAATCAGCACCAACAGCAGCAGCAACCTAATAATGTGCTAGCAGCAGCTGCAGCATCTGCTGATCAGAACTTCAGTCATGGCAACATTTGGGAAGCTGAAATCATATCTTCAATGGTTGCCTTTGGGAACGAGCAAAACTCTTCCAATAATCATCACCGTCATGATCAACGTTAGCAAAGCTGCAAATTTACCTATCATATTGAAATTAGATGCATATTTAAATTAGATGCATTTTGATTTTACCTACTATTTTAAAAGGTAAAAAAAAAATAGATATGATAGGTTTGGTTATAGTTTTAATTATGCTTGTGCTTTTCTGTTTATTCCTTTCGTTTCTTTGGTTGTTTTAATGTTATGCATAGAACTCTTTGTTGTACGAAAACATTTACTTTTACTTGTATGGTTATGTTGTGCCTAAGACCGTAATGTCTTAAAATTGTATTGAAAAAGATTTGATGAAGTTATTTAGACGAAATTTGTGAAGTTTTATATTAAAAATGATTAAATAAAAGTTAAAATTTAAAGTTTAAATTGATAGATTGAAATATTTTGTTACATAAATCAATTATGCAAAATATAAAAGATTTCTAATAAATTTTGATATATTTTTTATATAGTTATTTTTACTAAAAATTTTGATATACTTTTTTCGATTAAATAAGTACTAATCAAATTTGAATTATATTGAGAGGTTTAATTACTTTCTATGAATTCAATCTAGTTGGTATTTCCTCCTCTCTATCAACTATATATGAGTTCTAACATATACTTCCAGATAAGCAGACAGACAGTAAAGTTTTGTTCTATCTATGTTAAGGAGATCACCATACATGCACTGTTCCATTGTTTTTGTTCTGTCGGCATGTCTTTTAACATTGGTTTGCTCATTTAAAAAATTTTAGTACATATTTTAGCAGTTTCATCTAACATGTTTCTTAATTTTATTCCTTAAAATAGTAATTAACTAATCAAAAGCAGACAATAAACTGAACTGATCATGCTTAATAATATTATATAATTGTACTTTATGATCACCAGTATCATGCATGAAGCAAAATGATTAGGTAAGATGAGCATTTTCTTTTAATGTTCTTTGCAATGTAAATGATATTTATATATACGCTATCAAAATCAGTACTAATTTACACCAACACTACATTCCTTTGCTTTTATATATAGCTCCCTTTGAATGTTTTTACTCTCTCTATACATAAGCAAGATATATAGTTTCCTTAATTTTATGTCTTCTTAAAATTTATTCTTATAATCCAAACATGATTACTTAATTTGCTATGGCATGTTTTTTAGGATTTTTTAATTCAAAACTGTCAGAATTTAAAATTTAATCATTAAAACTAAGAATACAATAGTTGTTGACATGTTTTTTAGAATATTTTAATGAGTTAGTGTATATATACCGGATTTAAATTCTAAGCATCTAATTTCCTAGTGGAAATAATTAATCATCAAGTTGTTATTAATATGTATTAAGAATTTCAATCAGCTAGTCCAATGCTAATTTAGATCTGATTTAATTGGAGGAAAAGAAGTTTAAATTCTCAAAAAATAAAAAAAAATCCTGCTTGTCTTTACTCTCAATTAAAATTACAAATTAATAACATAAAATGTGCGCAAAAACAAATTTTCTCCCAGCAACATGTACATATATATATTTATTTATTTATTTATGCCAACTATATATTACTTTCAAATTAAAACCATTTGATTTTAATTGTAATTTAGTAAAAAAATATGAAAACTTTAATTGGACCAATGATCTTACATGATTAAAACAACTTTGTTACGAACCACTAATTTTTATTGGTTGCTGGGTTTTGAAGCTAAGAATGGTAGATAATAGAAGTACATGTGAGAGTTTGCTGTTCTAAGTTAGGTGGCATGCATGTCCAATCTCATATACTTACCTTAGCCACATAGTTATGTGCATATTTTTTATAGGATCCCAAAGCACCTAATCTATCTTCAATTGCTCTCCATCAAGTTTGGTAGGTGAACTTTGTACTTCCTAGTGTAACCCTTTGGGCATTGGGTAAAATGTTAGTAATTAAATTTATTTTGTCCTGGCCAATTCCAACTCAAGATGAATTTTATATGTCACATGTTCTAATACTTTTTTCTACCTTTTTTTTTCTAATCTAAAATAAATTTATCAAGTAATCAAGTTTTTATAAATGTTATTAAAAGCTAGTAAAATCGTTTTAAATGGAATCTCTATTTTATTTTGAAACTTAAAAGCTGTTAAATATTTTTTTATAGATTATACACTTGTTGGTAATCTAAACTTTTTTTTATTACTTGAAATCTATTTTTACTTTTTTAGTAATTACCACTTTTAATTTTTTATATTTCATATTAGTTTTTAATATATTTTTTAATTTTGACGTAAAAAATTTTAGTTTATTATTAATTTTGTTAAAATAATACTAGAATACAAACAACACTAAAGTCAATGTTTGTATTAATTTTTCTATGCCAAAACATTAATGTTAACATTCAATTTGAAAACAAGAAAGTATTTATATATCTTAAAGAGATTTAAAAAATAACAAAAAAAAAAAACTAATTACCATGCTTTAATTAACTGATTAATAAATTAATGACTAGGATGCTAAAGTTTTTTTTTTTTTTTCTTTTCAAGCTTTTCAATTCAAATTATTCAAAATATCTATTGATAATATTAAATAACAAACACTATGACAAAAAAATACATATATATATATATATGTGTGTACTGAGATTTAATCTAAATGGGTTATCCATTTCTTTTAAGAAATAAATTCCCATAAATCTAAAATTCAATCTCTAATACTTGCAAATTTCTCTTATCCTAATTTCCATTGGCCTTAAGCCTCCAATTTGTACAAAGAAAAAAGAAAACCATATATAAGTCCAAAACTAAACTGTTGCACTGTCTGTTGCACTGTCTATGTTGTCAGCCCTTAACCTTTGTTTAGATTTCATTATACGATGATAGCAACTATTTATAGTAAGTAGCAGAGCAAATCACACGGAAAATTAATATGTATACATACATGATAGAAATTTAAAAGTTGACAGTAAATAGACAAGATGCATATCAATCAAACATAGGTTAATACACCTAAAATACAGGATGAAATAGCTTGGTAAAATCTCTGGTATTAACACACTCAAAAGGGTAGATTTTCATCGGTTAAAATTTAAAGCTAAGAAATTTAGAGAAACAATTCCATAGTGTGGGAAAGACTCTGATCTTCTCACTATCATGGCATTATATTTTCAAGTAGGAAATGAGATGAAAATATCTGTAACAAGCTGAAGAACACAATATGAGAAAAGTTATATGTGATTGCCAGCCAAACTAACCTGGAAACATGAAGTTCTCGATCAATATCAAGTTCCAAAAAAAATGAAGAATTATTATGTTTTGAGGGGTGAAGTATATGCAAGGGAAAAACCATGATAGAAATTGGTAAGTAGCCAAAGATTATTTGAATTGCAACAGAAAATAAAACCCTGGAAAATTGGAGAAAAGTGCGTTAATTCTAGGTCAAGATGCATGAGGGTTAGATTGATGCACGTCATCAACCAAACCTTTGGAGTTTGGATCGACCTGCATGCTTTCAGCCGGACCTACCCTTCTCTTTTTCCAACTCCCCCCTACGTCAACAACCACATCTTGGGATCCCCCTTTAATGGAGATTGGAGGGCTAGTCCATTAAAATTGATAATCAGGCACAAAAAATCATACAATTATGAACATTTCAACATTTAATCATCATTTCATGATGCAAATGAACGAATAATTGTTGATTAATTTATGACTACCTTTCAAAAGAATGAAATCATCAATGAAGGGATAACATATTAACAATCAACGTTGTTGGGATATGGGCCTTGCAGCATCTGGTGTTCAAACTCAACCCAAAAGGAGAGTGTTTTCTTTTCATCTTTGTGAAAGGTATAAGCACTGGCAATCTTGGGATTTAGCCTACAATCATATGGCCCATGCCCATATTAAATGGAAAAAGCCTTTGGAAACGAAATGGAGTTAGATTTGGAAGAATTTTTTGCCAGTATCTACTTGAAAATAATATAAAAATGTAGTGACGAAAATATCCATGGTACCTTCATTAAGAAAAGAACAGATCATGACTTTTCCATCTCGCAACTTGCTAAGTCAAAAGTTGCTGTCTCAAGTAAATGTTGTTCTTTGGTTTTTTCCCTCTGATTACCATTTTCTCAAGTACTAAGTTAGACTAAAAACAACCAGGTGAGTTCATTTCCTTCTCACTGTTTTTTCTTTCGTTTTAGAAGCCCACTTTCAACGTCTCTCTCTCTCTCTCTCTCTCTCTCTCTCAGGCAGAGCAATGGCCCGTTCTTCATTGGTCCCCTTATCGGCGTCTTTCTTCACCTTCTTCAAAATACTTCTTCTTTGTTTCTGCAACTTTATGTCTTATTACTACTGTTTTCATTCTCTTATACATCTTCATGACTTCAACTCTCTCCACTTCCGATCAACATAGGCTCATGATTCACTTAAAACAGCCTCTTGGGTCTTTTCCATTTTCTCCTTTGACTCCAAATCTCTCCTCATTTTCACTTATTAATAATGGTTTTAAAAATGGGACCTTTGATTTGCCGGAAAAGTCTCCATTTAAAGCTGTTGGTAGTGGTGAAGATGGGACTGCAAGTCAAGTATCTTCAAGATCTCATTTTGGGTCAAAGGGTATGTTAATTTGAGCTTTGACCTTAAAAGTCTTTATTGTTATATGAGTTTTGAGTTTTGTTTAAGTTTTTACCGAGTGTCTGTGGATATATTATCAGTTTATTGATTGCAGTTATGGATTTTGTTTAAATTTGTTTGGCCTTTGATGTTCACATGGTTTGAACTTTTGTTGTCATGGGTGCATTAAGGATGTATGAAAAATCTTTAAAATGTAAGGATACGATAGAAAAGAGAAGAATTAAGAACCTCCTAATTACAAAAAATGGAAATTACAAGTCTTCAAGTGCCATTTTTTCCTCTTTCCTTCTCTCAGTGAGAGATTTTAGTTATTTTGTTGAATGTAAATCTTCAGCCAGCTTTTTATTGGATTGTGTTTGTCAGATATGCAAAAGTTTGAGATCAAGTTATTGAGCTTCTTGTAGCATAGATATTTTAATTCTTCAGTTCCTTCCCCATAGGCCCTTGTAAAGTTCTGTGTGAAGCATGTCTAGCATAGGCGGTTGATATCAGTAGTTTTGATTTTCATGACAAGCAGTAAATTAACATATATCCTAGCAATCTGCGCGTGTAGTAGGTGGATTGACTAGTTTATGAATGTTGTTTGCTGAAAGTGATTGAGAATCAAATGAGTTAACCAGCTTGCCCTGAAAAGTTGCTGTGTTCTGTTTGATTTGTTTTGTGTGAGCTTCAATGTCAGAGAAACTGCAGTCAGTATTGTAAAGTATAAACTTTAATATTCTACAGCAGGAACTGGAAACTATTGGTTTTTATGGTTCAGGAAACTTTGTGGGTGACATTGCGGTGTATCATGATGGAGATATCTTTCTAGAGGACTATGGAGAGATGAATAGGAGTTTCAAAATATATGTTTATCCTCACAAGAAACGTGATCCCTTTGCTCATGCACTGTTGCCCGTGGATTTTGAACCTGGGGGTAATTATGCTAGTGAAAGTTACTTTAAGAAGGCTCTTATGAAAAGCCATTTCATAACCAAAGATCCAACGAAGGCAGATCTTTTCTTTCTGCCTTTCTCAATTGCAAGGTTGAGGCATGATCCTAGAGTTGGTACTGGAGGTATCCAATATTTTATCAGAGACTACATCTTTAACATTAGTCGAAAGTACCCTTATTGGAATCGTACTGGTGGAGCTGATCATTTTTATGTTGCTTGTCACTCTATCGGACGGTCTGTCATGGCAAAAGCAGAGGAAGTAAAACTTAATGCCATTCAGATTGTGTGTTCTTCCAGCTATTTCCTTTCTGGGTACATTGCTCACAAGGATGCATCGTTACCTCAAGTATGGCCAAGAACAGGAGATCCCCCTGACGTTGCTTCATTCAAAAGGTGAAAACACTCACTCCCTCGAAGTGTTTAAACTTACAATACATCATGATTTTCTGAAATGCTTGCCACAAGTTTGATCTGAGTCAAGATAAATAGATTAAGTTTCGTAGTTTTTCTGAAATGATCGAAGTTCAGATAGTGCTGTTAATTTCTCGTATTGTTATCCTTCGAAGTAATCAATATGTGTGGACTCTTACATAAAATTAGGTACTATATCAAACATGTCTTAGTTGCTGAAGTTTATGTTATTGTTGTTAGAGGTACATAACCATGTTTTATCTATTTTGTAAAATAAAATTACAGGAACAAACTTGCATTTTTTGCGGGATCCATCAACTCCCCCGTGCGTGAAAAGCTTCTAAAATTTTGGAGAAATGACTCTGAGATCTTTGCTCATTTTGGTCGGCTTAAAACTCCTTATGCTGATAATCTACATGGCAGCAAGTTTTGTCTCCATGTAAAAGGTTTTGAAGTCAACACAGCACGTATAGCAGATTCATTATATTATGGTTGCGTTCCAATAATCATTGCTAACTACTATGATCTCCCATTTGCTGATATAATAAACTGGAAGAGCTTCTCAATTGCTGTTGTAACTGTAGATATCCCATTGCTCAAGCAAATACTTCAGCAGATAACTTCTGATGAATATTTATTGTTACAACGCAATGTCTTGAAGGTGCGCAAACATTTCCAGTGGCATGTTCCTCCAATCGATTTTGATGCCTTTTACATGGTGATGTATGAGTTGTGGCTTAGACGAAGTTCTGTTCGAACTAGTGCTTCCTTGAATCCTAAGTAATGACTGTATTTTCCATTTTTTCCACATAAAACAGCATCCAAGTTGGGATTGATCTATAATCCGTTGTTCTGAAATAGAATTCCCAATAAGAAAATTAGAGAAACAGTAATTTTTTTCACTCTCCTGCCTGCTGGGCCAACTCTAGTAACTAAACAGTAGGTTTTTCATTGTAAAAAGGACTCCATTATCATAAGTTTTTATCCACCTTTCAAACATGAAACCATGGTGAAAGCCAAAATTCATTCTAGATTACACCAACAAGATTCTTTATAAATAAAATATCCAAAGGTCTTTATAAATGGTTGGCTTTATTTCTGATAACTGCTGAAGAATTTGTTAACCTTAAACATGTTTAAGACAAGTTTTCATTGCAGAATGTGAAACAAAATGTGACAATAACTCTTAATACACATTTTCTATTTAACTTTTCATTTTTTTTCTGATCCTGACGGTATTTAATGGATGTAGCTATCGGTTAATTTACTGAACCAGTGAACTATATATAATTATTGATTGTATTTTCAATCTCCATTGTTCATGCCCCTCATTGCTACCATGGGGAAGTCTTCTTCCTTCTGCTACCAAATCTCTCAGCATCATTTCTCAACATCTTTTGGTGGCCCTTTCTTTTTCTTACCTTTAAGTTTAGCGATTTCTACTTTTCTTCTTATTTTCTTATACATATGTTGTACAACCTCAAAAGTCTTCACCAGTACAGAAAACAATCTTTACCCTGAGTATTCTCCAATATCTTCTTTAATCCAGCAAATGATTCCAATTTCCATGAAAAATGTAAACTGATAATCTAGTTTAGATGAACCATCACTTGACGTTACAAATGAAATTGCTTGCAGGAACCAACTAGCTTTCTTTGCCAGACAAGTTAGCTTTTTTAAAACACCGGAGAAATGACACTGAAATATTTGCCCATTTCGGATGACTTGACGGCGAGGAGCAACTTAGAAAGCAAGATCTCCATTTCTGTCTCCATGTCAAAGGCTTTGAAGTTAACACAGATAGAGTAACAGATGCATTACATTATGGTTGTGTTCCAGTGATCCTTGCCAATCACTATGATTTCCCATTTGCTGATATTCTCAACTGGAAGAGTTTCTCAGTTGTTGTACCCTACATGGATATCCCAGTTTTGAAAAAAAAAATCCTTCAAGGAATAAGCTGGGAAGAATACTCTTGGCTGCAAAGCAATGTATTGAAGGTGAGGAAACATTTCAAATGGAATGTTTCACCAGTTGATTATGGTGCATTTTACATGGCTATGTATGAGCTGTGGCTCAGAAGAACTTGTGTGAGGGTTCGGTTAAGTGCTTCCAGGGAATATATATAAATACTCAGAGCTCCCTACATTTTTTTTTTGCCCACTTTTTATTTGTTTTTCTGGTCTGTCATTTCTTACATGGCAGATGGACCATGATTGTTCAACTGAACTCCATGAAGCAATAGCTTGAATTTCATCGAACTTTCCATCTTCTTTATTCATTTTTGTGCACATGATTGTTCCAAAGAAAGCTTTTTTTTTTTTTCTCCTAAAAATATATAGTGCAGTTATAAACTTTGGTTTAGTCTTTCCTCGGCATTAGAGTCATGCTCAGATCTCCAGATTTACGTCTTTATTTTATTTAAACAATAGAATGAGATACCAAGTGTAAACTTCATTGGATGGTTATTTTATTATTTTTTTCTAACTAAAATTTTTTTTATTTTCAAGTCATTTAAAATGAACAATTAGAAGTCTAGTTTGGACTAACACAATTTTAATAAATCTCTTTATAAAATATATTTATTGTAAACAAAATTTTGAGGAGATGATTTACTTATATTAATGTAAGTTTTATTATTTTTAAAATTTTTTAATTAAAATTGTTTAAAGCTAAATATTATGAATTTAATTTTAATTTAAAATTAAAAAATATATAACACTTATGTTAATGTAAGTAAGTTATACTCTCAAAATTTTATTGCATTTGTGTATTACAATTTTCTTCTCTTCTCTCAATATTTGAGTTTCATAATTGTTAACACAAAAAATTTTATGTAAATTAACCTATAAAATATTAAAATTTTAATATTAAATTTTAGTGAAAAATGATAATTTTTGACAACTTCAAAAAATTTGTTCCTTATCATTTAATATTAAAGATTATCTTTTATGTAAAGATTAATGTAAAGATGACCCCAAACAGAAAAAATATTAAAATTTATAATTTCTTTAACAAAAAATTCTTTACTATAGAACTCTAATGTCTCTTAGCTTTTGAGTTTTAATAAGGAGTAATAGTATTTTAAAAGTAATTAAATATTTTATCTAATCGTATACTTAGATGATATTCCCCATTAACCTGATAAGGCAATAACATCAAAACTAATTTTTTTTCCAATAAAATGAATTACTAAACATTAAAATGCAAAATCAGAACAAAAGACAAAAAAAAAAAAAAAAAAGGTCTTTCAGCGTAGGTACTTTTTCTAGTAAAAATCACCAAGTTCGCTAGATTCACTTCTGTTTGTTCAAAACTCGCTTACGCACAATATTATGAAAAAACAAGAGCAAAAACATAAACTTCAAACAAATCTTTGTTTCAGAACTAGGGTTCCTTATATACAAAAAATCAATAAACAATCTTTTTTTTCTTGTTTCTTAGTTTCTTTTGTCATTTTCTCAGAAAAATTCACAATTTTTTTTAAAATTTAATTTTCGTTTCCAAAGAGACAAATCTATCTTAAATCCCAATCTGGGTGTTTTTTTTTATTTTGTCTTAGATACTTTGCTTCCTATACAGATTTGAACTTTACCCATTTCTCAATATCTGTTTGCCAGCCAAACAAATCAAGGGAAAAGGAAAAAGAAGGTTTAAATCTTTTATTCGAATCTGGGTTCTTTATGTTCCTAAGTGGATCTCTAATTCTGGGTTCTCTTCACTGGGAGCTTACATTACTTTCCAGGTAACAGAAAAAGTATTTATTTTATTTTATTTATTTTACTTTGATTTGTTTTAATGTGATTTTCGTTTGAAATTTTGATATATATTTTGGATTTTTGGAGTATAGGGAGAATTGGGTGTTAAACTCAACATCCAAGAAGCAAACTTGATTTGATGAGTAAAGATGGTGTTCAAATCTAAGATAAAATGGGTTGCATTATTTGTGTTGACTTTATCTTTGGGATCATTGGTGGCTCATCTTTCATTGACAAAGTTTTCAAGTATGAATTTAATCCAATATAGCGCAAAAGATGCTTTAACCCATGATTTTCCTATTATCGGATCACCGGTAAGTTTTTTTTTTTTTTGGGATTTGGATTACAAATGTTTTATCTTCATCTGTTTGCGTGTATGATGTGTTGATTGATGACCTTTGTTTTATTCTTATATGTTGAAGGGTGGCAGAAATAAGAGGCTATGGGGTGCTGTGAGGTCATTGGAGTCTTTGCAGCCATATGCAAACCCAAGAAACAGCTATCCTGGTAAAGAGTTTTGTTTAAACTACCTAATTATGTATTTATGCTTCCATACTGCCAAAATTTAACTAAATGTTCTCATCTATTTCATTAAGAAGGTTTGTTGAATTGATATGATTTTAAAATGAAATAATGATAGATTTATCTTGTTGTGTAGGTGATGATAACTGTTGAACTAGAACTTTGCACATTTTTTTAATTAAATTGGATCATATCTTGAGCATTGTTGATTATCCTATTGCCCTAAATTTGGACCTAAATGACAATTTGTGATCAATTGAAGAAGCTGGAAAGATGATGATTTGTGCAATTTCAAAAATGTTAGAGCACCTTTAATCTTTGAAGCAGCGTCAATACTTTGTAGTGCTCTAGCTCAAGTTGGTAGATTGTTATCTCGAGATCAGTTGAAAATTAAATTTCATTATTTGGTTTGTGAAGGACAGCTGAATTTGTCCCCATGAAACTGACTAACCATAAATATCTTCATATTTTTTCTTGTTATCAGCAATGGAACTCCTTTTTTCTTTTTCTTTTTAACCATTTTTTATGGTTAAGGTGTGTGTGAGATTTTCTTGATCTTGTTTGAAGTGAGGAACTCTGCTGTTTAATGGGTTGGGACTTGGGAATGGGACAATCTCTGTGGCATTTATCCTACATAGCTCTACATACTGAGCATGTATAAGAAGTTTTGCTTTGTTGATGAAGATGGAGATATGCACATTAGTTTAGGTTTGTGACAAAAGTGGTATATAACAGGGCAAGCAATCTTAAGGAGTTACTGAAATTACAATTTGCTTTGTAATTTCTATGACAGCTGTTAATAGGTTTTCTATAAGAAAAAATAAAAGTGGGGATCTTTATGATAAGTGTAATCTGAAAATAACTATAAGTGGAAAAGTTGGTGTATTCTTGATTTTTACTACATAAATTTGGTTAGAACTGCAATCTTCTGTTTACTTTTCAATTAAACAAGATCGTTACTTGTTGTTTAGTTTTGTCTATGTTGCTTGATAATTGACTAGGTCCAGATAATTCTTTTAGTCTGTTAATTAATCTTCTCTCTTTTAACAGTGCCAAATGAAAATAATAATGGTTTCATCTATGCAAAAATCTATGGTGGGTTCGAGAAGATAAGATCTTCGGTACGATCTATTAGATGCATTAAAGTCATCTTTTTTTACTATTCTCTGTTGGCTGTTCATAACATTTTTGTTAAATTTCTAGATCTGTGATCTTGTCACCATATCCAGGCTTCTAAATGCTACTCTTGTAATTCCAGAGATACAAGAAAGTACTCGTTCAAAAGGCATCAGGTACAGTTGCTTAATGTATTTATTATAATTTCAGTTTCAAGCCCTATATGTTATAATTTTACCCCTTTCATTGTTATGCAGTTATAAATTCAAGAGTTTTTCCTATCTTTATGATGAGGAGCAGTTCATTGCATCACTTAAAAATGATGTGAATGTTGTGAAAAGCCTGCCTCAGCATTTGAAGGCTTCAAAAAGAAGGAATGAGTTCCCTACTTTCAAGACCCAAAATTCTGCTTCGCCAAATTTTTATGTTAAAGAAGTTTTGCCAAACTTGAAGAAAGCCAAGGTTGTTGGGTTGATTATTACGGATGGAGGGTGCCTGCAGGTAGTTCGAAGTCTTGTAATTGTAAATAATATATTTGTCATAACTGCAAAAAAATGTTTGACAAAGTGTAAATCTTTTTCAAATATTCCTCTGTGTATTCTCTCTAACTGTGAAAATTGCTTTGCAAAGTGCATGTCTTGTTCAGATTAACCTATCTGCTCTCTCTAAATTCAATGGGCTCGGTTCTTACTTCATTGGCCCTTATTTAGTTTTATCCACATAATGGGCTTTGACTTTGTGACAAATGAAATTGTCGAAAAAGGAATTGGTTTATGCATATCTCTTATGTTATGTATGTTATTGACCTCTCTGTGTGTGCATGCACATTATAATATCTCTGATATATCATCAGTTTTATGAAGATGCATAAGACCTTGTTCTGCACAAAAGCTTATGTTGCCAGGGATGATGCTTTCCAGGAGAAATAAAGATTAATTTTTCTTTTCTTGAGAAACATTTGAAGATAATTTTGGTTTGGAGCTGCGTGTCAATGTCAGACCTTAGTGTGCTATTGCAAAATAGTTCTAACGGACTGTTTGATAATCAATTTTATGTTTCTTTGTGTGATTTCCATGCTTAAGAGTCTTGGTAGTGATTGTACCTCTGTCTCTAGTATGAGAATTTCCTAAATTCATAAGCAAGTAACTAAGCTTCATGCTTTTGCCATGTTAGAAAAGGTAAAATATGCGACACTTAATAGGTGAATCTGATGTATCTGTTTCTATCTATTGTTCGAATGAGTTGAATTCATTTGACCACTCTCATCAGGATTTTTCTTATCATTCCAAGTTACTGTCTGCTCAGCTTGGTGTTGATTTCATTGCCTCTAGTTCTGGATTAAAGTGACTTTCTATTCTAGCAATCTGGGTTATTGGTTACCACTCATAGCGGTTTTCATTTGTTGTTATCTAGGGGTTATTGGCCCATCGGTGGCTTGGAGTTCCACATGCATAATGTTTATGTATTACATATTCATTTATTGAAAAATATTACTGTTTCTTGTGATTTGCATACTTTCTGAATTAATGACAAACTATAAGATTAATATTAAAGCAGTAACCATACACCTTTCAGTCGATTCTTCCACCTAGAATGTCCGAGTTTCAAAGGCTTAGATGCAGGGTTGCCTTTCATGCCCTCCAGTTTCGTCCTGAAATTCAGATCCTTGGCCACCAGATGGTGGAGAGGTATAATTTCCATTTGCCTTTCTACTAAAGTCTTAAGACACCGATGTATGAGTTTAAAATATATGGACATAGTCCATTGCTGAATCAAGATTATATGATTCCTTGTGCTTCCCATCTTCTGTTTGTTAATGTGTCTGCAACTATACTTACAAAACTATCATATGACTAGTTGTTATCCAATCTGAGCTTTCTAATCTTCCTGCAGGTTACGAGCATCGGGACAACCTTTCCTAGCATATCATCCTGGTATAGTAAGGGACACCTTGGCATATCATGGTTGTGCTGAACTTTTCCAGGTCAGCTATTTATGCCTTTCTCTTTCCTGCATCCTTGTCTAGCCTAAGTTGAATCTTTTATTTATCCCTCCTTATGATTTAATTTTCCTATAAGTCTATTACAAATTCAACATTTTTGACATTCTTTCATTCTTTTGAAGGATTTTGGAAATTTAACAAAAAATAATAAGAGGAATTCAGTTGACATGTTCGTCCAGTTGTATGTTATTTTCATTACTTCATCTTGGAATTTGGTGTTTCTGTAGGATGTTCATACAGAACTTATACAATACCGAAGGGCACAGATGATTAAGCAAGGGATCATTAATGAAGAACTAAGCATTAACTCACACTTGCGCAGAGAAAATGGTTCATGTCCTCTCATGCCTGAAGAGGTATGTTACAAATAGAATTCACTGTTGCAAACCAGGGTGTGGTGATGCTCTCAAAAGTTTTGGTATACCTTCTATGTGTTTATTTGTGTACAATGCCTTGATAGTTCCAACAATTTCCTTGCTTCTTTCCTTGTTGGAAGTTGTGCTGACTGAAATTTATATATCAAAGTTTATATGTCCTAATTGTTTGAGTTTTTATAATTTTCCAACCTCTAATAATGGGAGTGGACTACAGTAAAAAGTGGATTCTCAAGCATACTTTTATTGGTTCTGAATGCTAGTTTGTTTGGAAAGAATGGTGAGCAGCTCAGCATCCCTTCAGAAAGCAATCTTTCCAGGATCTGATTAGTCAATCTAAGCAACGTTGAAAATGAGGGAAATAGATTTTAAAAAGAGAAATGTTAATTGCTTGTAATTTTATGCTTTATTAGCATATGTTGCAACAGCCTTGGAATCACATACATAATTCAGTCATGACAAAAGTAATTGCAGGACAGGAGGAATAGAATGGTGAGAAAAACAAAGAAGGAAAGAGATGGGAAACAGGGGGAGAAAACAAGAAGGGGGAGAAATAAAGAACAACTTGGAAACAGAAAATCTGAGTTGATTCCAATGATCCAAAGCCTTTATAAGATTACCAAACTAGAGTATTTATGGTTACAAGCCATATTACCTTAATGTAAATGGGAGATCCAATCTAACCTTTTTAAAAATAAAGCATAATAAAGGCCCAAAATAGTCCTCCATCAAAAAGACACAACGATGTTTTAGTGACAACGGTATTGGATGGTTGTCCTTTACTTATATTTGTTTATTCATGAAATTTTGCAGGTTGGACTTCTTCTTCGTGCAATGGGTTATCCTTCTAAAACAATTATATACCTGGCAGGTTCTCAAACTTTTGGCGGTCAACGTCTTCTGATACCTCTACGTGCTATGTTTGTAAACCTAGTGGATCGCACTTCATTGTGCAGCAAGACAGAGTTGTCGGACTTGGTTGGTCCTGAAGCACCTCTTCCTCCAGATATTTTTCAACTACCTCATCCAAAAAGTGATGAACAACTTAAAGAAGAGTGGAATAGGGCTGGTCCACGGCCCCGGCCCCTTCCTCCACCTCCAGATAGGCCCATATATCAACATGAAAAAGAAGGTTGGTATGGTTGGATTACTGAGAAAGAGAAAGAACCAGACCCTTCACCTATGGATCTTAGGATGAAAGCTCACAGGTTACTTTGGGATGCCCTTGATTATATAGTCTCAGTGGAAGCTGATGCATTCTTTCCTGGTTTTAACAATGATGGTAGTGGATGGCCAGATTTCTCAGGCTTGGTTATAGGACAAAGGTTATATGAGAGGGCTTCTTCTAGAACGTATCGACCAGACAGGTTTGATATGCAGAAAGCTAAATTCATGAGTTTTTTGAATTGATTAAAGCAGTATTTCAATTTACCACTGAAACTGAAGTTATTCTTTTTTATGGTAATAAAGAGAATGAAACCCCTCCTAATTTATATCTAAATTACACTAAATTGCTTTGAATAAAATTAATTCATCTTTATATTTATGTCTAACATCATTTATTTCATTTCTTTAAACAGGAAAGCTATTGCTGCACTTTTCAACAGTACCCGTGATGATATGTACCATCCCAAGCGTAATTGGACACTATCAGCTAAGGAACATCTGAACAGAAGTTTGAGTGAAGATGGCCTTATCAGGCAATCTTTGTTGTCAAAGCCAACCTCTTTCCTGTCGCATCCGCTTCCTGAATGCTCTTGTAGAATTTCTTCTGTGGAAATCCGAAAGCAAATTAAAGGCAAAGATGGCAGACTTTTATATGGAGGAGAAGAGGAGTGCCCCAAATGGATGCAGTCAGCTGGGGCTGGAGGGGTTAGAAATGATTACACTGAATTGGCAGAAGATGATAATGATGTGGTTGAACAGCTAGAATCCGATGGTGCTGATGTCACAAGTAGCTTAACTTCACTGATTGATCATGATGAAGAATGGGATCCTAATGACTAATTGGATTTACAGATGATACAGTTTCCTCTTTATATCATCAACCAGTGGAATTCAGTTTCTGGTGAATTCTTCTGGAATGAAATTTTTTGAGACACGAGGATAACAGCTGAAGCCATTCTTTATAGTTCCAGGTCTAATATTTTCGGATGAATAAGTAGCCAAATTTTTGTCCTTTTGAGTAGTTTCTGGCTTATACATCAAAGTTTTTGAACGTGATAACAGTGGAAAGATTTGATGCAGTGATATGAATTACAGCCTGAAGCTAAAAGTGGGAGATAAGCTAAAACTCAGTGCTGTAATCTTTGAGGTGGTGCAATATTTCTTGTTGTGCGTCTTCAAATGCTTTTTTTTTTTTTTTTCCTGGTTAAAAAGAGTGTAAATTTGCATAGAAAAAGGATGTCAATGAGATAGTTTTGTTCTGACAAATTCTTTTACCATGTGATTAGTTTGGATTTTTTTTATATATATATTTTTTCATTAGTGAACTTTTTTGTTTGGTACTCGGAGGAAAATTTGTTAAAGGGCAGGATTATTTTAACAATTTGGGTCACTCATTTTATTCAGCGAAATTAAGTTGTTTTGATTAATGCCTCGATGCTATAAGAAATCTTGAAGATTAATTTGGTAATTTGTGAATTTATATATGTTTGTTTGTTTGGTATTAAATAAGTATAAAACATAAATTATAAATTCATAATTTACATTCACATATCAAATATAACATATATTTTTTAAAATTTTATTAAAATTTTAATTCATATTATTTTTATATTTATCTTGTTATTTTATCATTTAAAATTGTGAATATCATGTCATCCTATCATTTTTTAATTTGTGATAGATATTTATTTCATATGGTTGTTCAAATGATTTTCTTTGAAGACCAGTATAAAAATTCTTAAACAAACAAAGAATATTACACGTTCATGTTAATTAACATTTTCCACTGATAAATTAGGACTTGGAATCACCATCCAAAATGATCACTTAAAAAAAAAGATTCAATGCTTAGTACTTAAAAAAAAAAAAAAATGTTTAATCTAACACAAAATGAATTCAAAGCACGTCTGCAAAAGAAATCAACAAAGACCATGATATTATATTTTTATATCAAAAGAACATTAGAAAATTTTCAAATTTCAATCGTAACAGTATGCAAACGACAAAGACTCGCAACAAAAAGGATAGACCTCGAATTATTAACAAGAACAGCCGAGAGAGGAATGATTGAACGAATTCATATCTATATTTTGTATATAAACAAATTAATGAAAAAATCTAAGCACCTTTGTTGCTGCTCCAGGGCTTGATCACAGCGACGACAACAATTACAACAATCAGGAGAAGGATGATAATAGCAATGCACATCCACTTCCTGGAGTTTTTCTGTAATTTCTTTGCCTTTTGCAGTGCAGTATTACCCGACTGCACATGATCTACTGCACTTGAGACCTGAAAATTTCAAATGACGAGGAACTCAGTTTATGGATCCCAAAGGACTATCCATACTGCTTGTGAGATATACAATCGATGTCTTATCAATTGTTTTTGAAGATTCTGTGAACTAGTTAAAATTACCTGAGATTCTATGTTGTCAAGCATGTCCCCTTGTGCATCAATCAGCACCGCCATATCCAAAAATATCTGCATGAGGAACATTATTAGTATGCATTCAAAAAATATGTCCACTCCATATGATATTCAACGCAATTTCTTTCCTAAAGTGATCTGAAATTTTCATGGATCTGATGATATTGTACAAAGTGCACATAAATGAAATGATTCTTTGTTCAAAACATTTCTGAAGGACATTTGCTCCAAATGATTCAAAGACCAATGACCCCACAATTCATAATAAATTCAGGTATACACATAGTATGCATATATCAAAACAAAATGAGCACCACTAGTGGTATATATGCTTTTCACCATGAAATTCAAAGGCAATGAATCTGATAATTAAACTTCAAGATTTTTTTTTGGACATGAAGCCTAAATTTAGATTTTAATAATTTGATTATTATGATCAAATCGTTGCACCTAAAAACAAACTGATCAAGTACCTGTTGTAACTCAAGAAGCTTTCTCTCCAAATCTCTTACCGCTTCATGTCGCTCGTGAATTTCAGAAACAGTATCCATTATCTGCAAACACCAAATACTAATTTAGCCATAGCCAATTTCTAATCACGTATCTGCTACCAAATCACAGTCTCATTAAAATCCAACAAGGTAATTGCCATTGCAGATTAAGAGACGGGATAGAAGAGAACATTGAAAATCAGTCCTTGAGCTGTAAAATGAAAGTTTAATTTTGAAACTCTAAAATAGTTTATATCCTATCCCTCCAGTGAATTCTACAAAACAAAGAAGGTTTTAGGGATGAAAAAACAATATTAGCTTCCTGAAATTGCTGAAGAAGTAAGAAAATACTATTAGCATCAGGGAAGAAATAAGAAAGTTTAAGACAAACCCGGCCTCGTCCTTGCTCCTGAATTGCTTTCTGGAATATTTGTTCACTATCTCCAGTATCAATCAATTTTTCAATTGTCTGTACATGTTGAACGGTCAGATATGTGCTAAATAGGATAGAGAATTATTCATAATATCAGGAGTGAAGCAAATCACACCTCTTCATCAGGTCTTGTGCCCGTCACTGAAAATCATAATAACCAAAGAAGACAATATTAGCTCCATATCATGCATGTTATAGCAATTAAATAAGTATAAGGTGAGCATCTTAACCTGTGAAAACACGTCTCTCAACAACCTCCCGATACTCTTGATGGATGGTTTCCCTCAAAGTCTGCATAGTTAATACAACAAACATACTAAGGTTAAAAAAAATTGGAGTACCAGCTGAGCAAATAAATAACATCTTAAAATGACTATATCTGACCTACCTGAAATTCAGCCATTTTGTCTTTCAACTTCTTTTTCACGGCACTGCAACAAAAAGATGTCTGTTACAGGAACAGTTATAAGATATGATAAAAACTCATCAAGCCCAAAAGCTTGAAAAAGCATTTCAATTGAGGTGGAAACAAAATTGGCCACATAATTTTAAGATCATTCCTAGCCTTTCTTTTTCTCCGGGGGCTGGGGTGGGAGGGTTAGCGCTTTGAAATCATTAATATAATGGATAACAATCAACCATGAGTTAAGAAACAGAACTACTCTTTTCAATACTGCCTTAATCATGAATCAAACCTGCTGACTAGTTTATACACCATGCCAAATTGAATTATCATGAAACATGGTACAAAAACAAGCTTCGTTAACTTGAAGCCTGCATTCTCTCCATATGCCCCATGCAAGCATAGATATGAAAATGCTTTTAGATATAATATGCACATGTTCCAATATTGTAGAAAGCTTAGACATTGTAGCTTTAGCAATGAATACAAATAAAATTTATTTTTTTTGTTTCATATTTCTGGTTAATTTAACAAAATAAAACAGAAATAACTTTTTACACTACCACCAGTCATCCACATAGCAAGAAATAAACTATCACCAATCATTTATTTGAAATATCAACAAAAGGGATAGAACCCATGCATCCTTAAAACATGTGTCAGGTTTTGTCAGTATAAACTTTTCAACACAAGAAAAATAAAATAAACTGACTTCTGCTAAGCATATTTTAGATCCACGTTACCACCAGCTTTGATCATATAATAAAAGGGAATATGAAACAATAAAAAACAAAAAAAGGACGTATATTACAGAGTTGTTGCCATCCTCGACCGGTCTACACCTGTTCCTTTTCCGCATCCAGGCTTCTGCCTATTGGCTAAATTCTGCCCAACATCAAGAAAATGGCATGAGCAAAATCTATGAACTGCAAATAACCAAAATAAAAGCAGTGAGCAGCCTTACCTCTCTGTCCAATTCCTCAATTTTCCCCTTTATAAAACAAGAAACTTTTCCAACTTCATCAACATCTTTCTCCATTCGCTGCTTGATAGCTACACATGATATCATGAGCATTAAGTTCAAAATAATGTAGCTCAAATTCCAATACATGAAGAATAAGCTTTTATATATTCTCAATAGCAAAGTAATAAAAAAAAGATACAAACACAGGCCCCATCATTTTTTTTCCCGCAGCTTTAGTGAAACTATGAATGCAAAAAATATATACAACAAACTATTGCTTACATTTCATGGCAGGAGCCTTAGTCACTGCCTTTGATTCCTCATGTGCATCCTGCATGCAAGATTTGAAAGAAAACAGCATTAAAAAAAAACACCTTAATCACTATTAAATATTGTAGCTTACAAGCTTCATCAGCCACAAATCATCCTCAGAATTATGTTAGGCAAGTTTCAAATTTTAAGTATCAACCCATGTACATTATCTTGAACATGGATTTATGAAACAAGAAATTAAAATATTTATCACAATTACATTGGAATTCAATAACCAAGAATAGGTTACTTCATAATCTCACGTTTTAGGTCCTATGGCTAGAGAGAGTAGGAATGCAAGATACTAGTACTTTCCCATTGCAGTCCTTTTGAAAATCATAGAAACAATACTAAAGCTGACACTTTAAAATCTGGACAGAGGGCAAAAGACCAACTTTATCAAAGCTCTTGAAAGATCCAAAAAAAAAAAAAAAATTAGCTTTTATTCCATATTAGTCTAGTGCATCCATAGGAGGATTAAAAAAGCGAGGAATACACTTTCAGACAGTTTTGAGAAGAATTATACATAACATTCTCTAAAATTCAGAGTAGTCAACAAAACACTCAAGATAGATAACTTCAGGATTCTTGAAGCATTGATACTATACAAGGAAGAGAAGAAGACATTAAATCAAATACCTGAAGCTTTTTGAGTAGCTTATCCAGCTTCTCAAATTGTTTATCCATCTCTTGAACCTGGCAAAGACAAAACATAGTACTAGAGCACTGACTCAAGCTGGATTATACCATATTGAAGAATTTAAGTCCACCTAACCTACAGAATAAATATTAAGAGTTGAAACACAGAAAGAAGAAATAAAACTTGAAACTGCTTCGAACGCATTTCTGCCTAATGTACAAAGAACAATTATTACATTAAGAAGTGTACAGCACCTTTTTAAAGAAACTCTGAAGGCCCAGTTCTCCAGAATTCATTTGAGCTCCTAACTCGATATCACCACCTTGTGATCCTTGACCTCGAGGGATCTCAAATGACTCCTGCAACAAATATAAAACAAGTAAGCAGAACTAGATTCAACCAAGCTATGATAATAATTACTAAGCATAATTCAAGAAGGATAAGATTATCTAGTCATTCTAAGTAAACTAAGAATTCACAAAGATAGACATCTTAAAATATCATAATTATAAGGAAAAGCAAATTTATGTTGGCGCCAAAGAAAAATTATATAATAGAAGAAGTTTGCGATTAGTTTTTTTTTTTTTATTAAGATATGGGATGTAAATGACTTTTTTTACAAGCTCAAACTGTAAGTTCTAGTCTTCAACTGCTATAAATAACTAGTTAATTAGTTTTTTTTTTCAGAAATAAATTCTAAATTGATCCGACTCCAGCATAATTAAAGCATTCTCGATTAATTTTTTTTTATATCAACTTTTAGCTCACTAGCGTCTTTTTTTCTGAAGGAGAACACTAGTGTCCTAAGTAATAAGATTCAGTATTCAAAATTCTCAATTCACTTAATTTTCCTCCATTTTCACAGCATCCAAACAGAAAAAGCCAAATTAAAGTCCCCAAGTGTTATTTTTCCTTCTCTTTGTTAATCACAATCCACATAAAATTAAAAGAAAAACCCAAATTAAAGTCCCCAAATGTTATTTTTCCTTCTCTTTGTCAATCACAATCCACATAAAATTTCCAAAATGCAGCTACCGCAATCCAAAAAACCCTAGATCCAAACAAAAACCAACGCATACAAACAAAACTATATAAATAAATAAATAACAAAAATTCGAAAAAGAAATAAAAAAAGAGCATCATAATGTTACCGTTAGAAGGTCGTTCATAGTGGAAAGATGTATGACGTTCAACGAAGCTTCAAAGAGAAGAAACCAAAAATTAAAACTTTTCAAAAAAAAAAATAAAAATGAGAAAGCTAAAAGGAGATTATAAACAGATCTAATATAAAATGTGATTAATAATATTGAAGCTAATTATTATTAAGACCTGGTTTTAAACTTAAAACCAGGTCTTTTTTTAGGGTTTCAGGTTTTTCTTCGGTGATTTTTGGAAAAAAGATTGAAAAAAAAGAGAGAAAATGGAGAGATGGAAGAGAAAGAGAGAGATTTGCTTAGGAGTTGGAAAAGCAAAGCAGCTACAGAAACGTGGAGACAGGTTATTGAGTGTATGTGTTGTAGGGAATCCTTTAATCGTAACGTTCGAATTTGTAGGCCCCGATCTTTAACGGGTGATTAACGGCGATTATTGTCAGGTTTTAGAGAGAGTGATTAGATGCGGTTAATATACCTCTATCTTTTTCTTGGGTTCTTTAGCCATGAAGTGGAAAGTTTTGGCTTTCCTTGTCTGAAATTTTCGGATGGATTCTTGCTTTTTGGTTCAATTTGTATTTGTTTGTTTTCATATTTAACTTCTATATTATAATTTGTGTTGGTATAAAATATATTTTTTTATTAAATTTATATTTGATTTTTAATTAAAATTTAAATAATTTTATTTTTATTATGTTAATGTATTATATTTAAAATTATTAAATTAATTTTTGTAAAAAGATTTCAAAAAGCAAGTAAATAGATTTATAATTTAAAATATAATACGATGATATGATATGAAAATAAAATATAAAAATGATATGATTTAAAATTTTAACAATAATTATATATTAATTTAATAAAATAAAAAAACATATTTTATATTTTTTGTTGTCACAAAATCATATATAATATTATATTACAATATATATATATAAACTTGATAAAATTTACTTATATGAATACTTAGGTAAATAATTTTTTTAGATGATACATATGATAATAATAAATAATTATAATATATATTATCAAAATAATCAAATATAAAAAACTTTTAAACTAAATAATTAAAAAATAATAACTATTCAAATATTAATTTAAAAACGGATAAAAGAACATGTGATTATTTATTTTATTTAATATTATTTGTTTATTTAATATTATTCAAATCCACTTAAAACATTGAAATTTATTTAAATTAATAAGAGCATCATAAATTAGTATTTAAAAATTTACGTTTAAAGACTTAAAAATATCCATCTTAATACATTTTTTATATATCCAATTAAATAAGTAGATAAAAACACCTATTTAAAAAAATGGATAAAATCATGTTTAACTATTTATATTTTAAAATACTTGATATAGATTGAAAACATAATAGATTTTTGCTATTCTATTCTCTCTAAAACTTTTTTCTTTGCTTTTTTTATTTCTTTTTTTTTTTTCAAATTCTTCATTTAAAAATATTTTTTCATTCATATTTCATTTTTAAAACTTTATTTCCTCCCTTAAATTTCTTTGTTTTTAATTTCTTTTTACAATGATTTCTACAATTAATTAAAATAAATAATGAATCTTTTAAGAAAAAAGAAGCATTTTTTTGTCTCATTGACTATTTGATTTATTTTTAAAAAGGTTTTTGTTTTTTAATTTTCATATAATTATTGGTTAATATATATAAGTCATATTGCTACTACTCTAAATTCTATTATATTATGGTGAAAAAAATTTTAATTAGAGTTTTTTTATCACAATTTCTTTTTATAATGAAGGAAATTTTTTTATTATAAGTGCATGTACGCATCGAAAAGATAAATATTTAAGAGATTGAAGAATGTTTAGAATTTGACAAACTTTTCTCGACTTCTTAAATCACATTTTTGTCTTAAATTTAAAATTCTTTTATTTTTTTTATTGGCTTTATTATTAAGTTTCAATTACACTTTATCTTAATCATTAGTTTTTCTTATAATTTTTTAGGATCTATAAATACTTATTACATTTGCATTTTATGTAAACCTTTTTTTTATAGTAAATTTCTGTTTTTTACCAATTAAGCTATTAAATTAATAAAATGAATTTAATTAAAATTTTAATATTTTATATATTTACTAATATACTTTTCTAAATTAAGAGGGAGGTGAAAAAGTTATTTAAAATTTTTGTTGATAAATTATATTTTTATTTTGAAATTTTGTACTTTTAATTTATGAAATTAAAAATCAAATCAAAAATTTTAACATTAAATATATAAATTTAATTAAAAATAAAAAAGAGAGAAAATACAAATATTTAGTGATAAAAATAAAATTTTAAATCTACGAAAATTTTATATAAATATTTATTGAATTAAATAAAATACTATTATAAATAAAAATATCCCATGCATTTGCATGGGTAAAAAACTAATATTTATATAAATTTTTAATATTTTACACAATTAAAATACACAAATTATTTTATTTTACAAATAAGAGTATAAAATTTCACTAAATAAAATAAAATATGCGGTAGCTTGATATGGATATAATCATACACTTGCGATCAGCTTCAAATGAGGAACATTGGTCAGTTCAAATACAATACCATTTTCCATTACAACTTCATCTTCTATAGTGGTAGTTTCTCCATTTCTTTTTCTCTATGATTTGCAATATACTAATGTATATATAAAAAATTAATCATTTGATTTAAGTAATAATATGGGATTTTATTCTTTTTTTTTATAAACATTTTACTATATATCAGGAATTGCTAAAGCTAGTTCTAAAAAATATTAATGATGATGAAAATGGCTTCAAACAATTAGTAAACTTCAATGGCTTCCTCATAGCTTTTAGTAGGTTTAGTAGTAAGGCCAAAGCCAAATGGGAAGAGGGGATCATAATGTGGATCCCCAACATTCATCGGCAGTTGATCAACTGTCTTGAACCAAGTACGAGGAAGCTTGCCTGTAAAACCATAGTCACCAAACAGAACATCAGCCACACCTTGACCCTCAGTTCCTGGCAACCAAGCGGCAACAAGAGCATCGATAGTGTCAACATAAGGTTGGATCACGACAGGGCGACCAGATATTATGATAACAACACATTTCACAGCTCCACAGACATTTGTAATTGTGCTTGGACCAGGGTCTGGAATTGTCAAATTCATACTGTCACCATCATATTCTGCATATGGATGCTCCCCTACTACAACAATGGCGTAGGAAAAGTCACTGGACTTGACAAATTCGGTGTCAGGATTCTCCTCGTATACGACATCAGTGCTTGAATCGACAGTGTTCTTGATGGCAGTTAGGATTGTTGTGCCTGCGATCATAAGAAGGTTCTTGTAAAGGTTAAAGAATGTACAGTTGAAGAATTAATTAATTAGAGGGAGAATTCTTTGATTACCAATTGTGAGGTTGTTGCCACTCAACCCCTGCCACTCAATTGTCCATCCACCACATTGATAGCCCAAATTGTCTGCATGGCTACCAGCAACAAGTATTTTTGATGTCTTCTTGGGTAGGGGAAGCAATGGAGGATGGTCTGATTGTCCATTCTTTAGCAAAACAAGTGATCTTCTCACTGCTTCTCTAGCCAACTCTCTATGCTCCTGTTGAATTGGTTCGGAAAATTAGGACATTATAATCATCTTAATGTTTAAAGAACAACCTAGTTGAACTCGAGGCTTAGCCCAAATGGTTCACCTATCTCAGTAAGACTAGGGTTTGATCCCTAACATTTGCAATTCTTCTTTAAACTAACCTGACTCCCAAGTTGGTCGACCAAGCTGTTATCTGCTAGTGGGTTCTCAAATAGACCCATGACAAATTTAACTCGCAAAATTCTGGTCACTGCATCATCAATGCGGCTCATGGGGATGAAATTATTTTTTACCAGGAAGGTTAGCCCGTCGATGAATTCATTATAGTTGTATGGAACCATGACCTGCAAAGACGAATATAGTAAGAAGATCAAACACTTAATAACATAAGCATAAAATTCAACATTTAATAAACTCTAACCATGTCAATGCCAGCGTGGATTCCAGCTTGAATTGAGTAGGTATAGTTAGCATGAGGTGGAGATGTGATCCTGTCAATACCTTCCCAATCCGAGATGACAAAGCCCTGTGACAATGTGCAGAATCTGTATTATGTTCTAATATTCTTTTGTATGGTATGCTATTGATGGGGAAACTTTATTTCAATCCAGTGAGCAAGAGTTATACCCTGAATCGAAGTGTATTTTTGAGAAAACCGGTGACTAAATCACGATTAGCATGCATTTTAATGCCATTCCAGCTTGAATAGGAGACCATGATCGTTGAAACACCTTTGATAATTGAGGGATAGTAGCCTGGCATATGAATGCTAAGCAAACCATGCCAGTCTATCACTGTGTTGCCCTCATCTATGCCATTAGTTGTTCCACCATCACCTACATAGTGCTTAGCACAAGCTGCAACATTTTTCCTGGACAGCAAAGAAGGGGGAAAATGACAGGAATTAGTTTCAAAAGTTTCATACTGCAAATTCTGTAATCAGAAAGTTGGAAAGTGTTTTTTTTTTTCCTAAAAATAAAATAATAATAAATCAATTAAAAAGTTTTATGTCAAACTTGCATTTAAATGACAAGATATTATATTATTTAGTATGAAAATCTCACAATTTTATTAAAAAAATGCTACATAAATAAATTGAAGTTTTTACATATATATATATATATATATAATAACATATCCTTATAACATCGGAAAATAGCATTGGGGTTAAATTTAAAACATAATAACCTCTGGTGAAATGAAATGTGATAAATTGGCGAAATAATTTGTTATGTTGGCATTGTCAATGTACAATGAGTTTATCAATAAAATATTACTATTTCCGCAGTGGATTCCAGTACACTCTATCCCTTCATAAATAAATGGTAGGACACCCAAATGTATCGTAGATAAGAAGGCCAACAAGTTAATAACACGAAGCAGTCAAACTTTGTGTCGTGGATACAAATGTAGCCTCGACTTCTATTTTTTATTTGCATTTTATATGTGGAATTCAGGTCCACACCAAACTATAACAAGGAAAAAAAACTACCAGATCCAATGTCACAAGTCAATGATGAAAAAGTTAAAACTTTGTTCTTCTGCATGACATTTGATGGCATGTAACAAAAAGTTAACTATGAAAATTAAGGTTTATGTCTGAATCTGAATTTTAGTAATACTTGTAGTTTGTGAAATTGCTTACTTTC